AGGGATGGGCTCTCAGTCCATTTGGGGAGGGGGAAGCTGGCACTAACATTTCAGGGAGAACAGTAGACAGCCCCTCTGGTCTCACTTGACCCCACAGGTGTACCAAACCCCAGCATCAAGCCATAGGAAGAAAACATAAGGTTGGAGACTGGTTCCTATAGAAGAAAGATGTCACTGTCATCTTTTTGGTCACCTGCTCATCTAGACCCTCTCCTTTCCCACCGTTTATCTCCCAAGACTCAACTTCATGCTCTTTTGCAGTCTCCTCTCTGCTTTTCCACCTTTTGAAATTTCTGTGGGCTGTGAAATGCTGTTATTGCAGCCACCCTTGGACCAGCCCCACACACTGTCCACATCGCTTTTCCAGCACAGGGCTTCCACCTCAGGTTTGATGAGATCCAAGCGGTGATGGCAACCGCAGCAGCCAGCAGAGCTGCCATAAGCCAACATGGGGAGGTGCACACCCATATACCTGCCCTCTTCTCTTCCTCTCACCCTTGAACATCAGCCCACCCAGGATCCCAGCTCCATGCCCACCCATCGAAGGCTAACTTCAGAAAAAAACCATTCTGATTAAGTTACATTCTACTTTTGGGACCCTACCCCAGCCCACCTCCACCACTTCAACCTGTTAATGTTCAGAGACACCTGACCTCACTCATGAGGAAAGACAGGTCTGTCACGGGACACCCAAGAAGCTGACAGCCCTCAATCTGTGCCCTCAGGCGCTTTGCTCAAGGTATTGGCTACATCTGCTTACAAAGGCAGGGTGGTCACTCCCCACATCACAACTGGACTCTGTTAGCACCATTTCTAGACAGCATCCTAGAAGCTTGCGAGGTTACTCGCATTAACTGGTCCATAACGTACCATCCTGGGTCACCACACTCAGCTGCAGTCCCATGTTGTGCTGAGGGTTCATCACCCACATGTTACTGGTGGCGGTGACGTCAAACTCCAGCCAGCCTTCCTCAGAGGCCCACACCACCCGTGTGTCCAGCAGAAACAGGCCAGAAGCCCTGCAGAGGAGAAGCGTAATGACAAGATTGTGATAACTGGGATTTTCTCACCCAGATGTTACAGAAACAAGAAAACCTGAAATAGGGAAATGTGATGTGACAGCTAGGAAAAAAACCTAACAAAACAATCTCCCCAATTCTGCCTGGTTTTATCCAGAGTTTTGCCATGAGATGCACATACTTCTTCATGTGAAATTCAGGATTACAAAGGTGTTTCACCATTTTTGAGGCTGGAGGAAAGCAATTCTAGTCTCTTAGGTCTGGGTGTTTCTCCACCAGCAAGGGATTCATAAGCCACTGTTCTTCCTGAAGAGTGTAACGCTAGCTCTGGCAGGACCATGGTCAAACTACCAGCATTTCCAGCCATTCACTGGCTTTTGTCAAAGGAGGTTTGTGGTTTCAGTCTCCCTTCCACAACACTACAATACACCAAAAAAAAAAAAAACCCCAAAAACCCCCAAACAAACCAATCACCTAACAGGCCAAGCATTAAACAGTGAAGAAAAATTAAAAAGGCCTCTAAAGACATTTTTCTGAGGCTTATCCACAGGGATTAGAGCGCCTTGTTCCAAAGCTGTTGGTACTCAGTCTCCTTCATGGGCTTCAGCTTCAAATGCTATCAAGTCTATACCTTTTTTGCAGCATCAAATGCCCACCAAAACTCAGTTCAATGAAATCAGCTGGAGAAGCAGCCAGAGAAATCCTATGTACATTTTCTCACCGTATTACAGGCATAACTTTCCTGTGCAAGAGAGCTACAATTCCTATTCTTAACCAGCAGCCATCATCACAAAACAGATACCAGGTGTCAATCCCATCTTCACCTCTCTTCCTCCCCTGGATTTTGTTTTTTTCTAACCATAACTTAACGGAAATGGGAAAACAGGGTACCTGACCCTCCCACCCATCAAAGGTTAACTGTAGAAAAAAAAACATTCTGATTGAGTTATGTTTTATTTTTGGCCAACTGCTATGTCATACTGCCCAGCAGCTTGGTTTGCATGAGATCACACATGGAAAAATAAGCACTTAAGTATATTAGGGCTCCTAGTACAGCTATTTTTACAGCATGGAGGCTTTCCTCGGCCTTGCTGGTAGCCGCAGTGGTTGACTCAGCAGCCTTTCCCACAGGAGTCTTTGCCACCGCTCCTACAACGGGAAGAGGGTTCAGGAACAACTCTGACCTTCACCTCCAACAGCAGCGAGTGGCTGGGGTTGGCCAGCTGCTACATGTTTTGCAAACCTTAAGGTTGAAAGATTTGGGCTTTCCCAGGCAGGGTATATAAACTGAAGCATTGTTTAAAGGAGACCACAAGCAGCAGTTGCGGCTGAGACCACTCTTCCCCTCTCCAGGTTTAAGAGAGGAATGAACCGCTAGATCATTCCCACCTCTGAATACGACTTACACATTGGTCCTCTCCAGTGCTTGAAAAGGGGTTTTTCTAGCACCTGGTCTGACCTTCCCTCTCATGCCAATTGCTTTTTGATCTCCTGTCCCATCTCCACTCCTCTAAGTGCCATAATCTCCCCAGCACTCACCTGCTCCAGACAATGTCCCACTGGAGCCTCCAGACTAGAGTAACTTTGGTGTTATGTTCCCCCAAACCAAACATGTCTGGCTGCAGAGCTGCTGGGAACTCTGTAAGCGCAAACCCTCATGCACATTCAACCACATGGCATTACTTAGGTCCACAAAAACATGAAGAGGAGGCTCGGAGCTTATATTCCCAGTGTCTTGCACTTTGGGAAGATGCTTGGACATTAGAGAGCTGTAAAGCCTGAAAGGACCACACGGCATCATCTAGCCCATTCCCCTGGGCAGTATCAACTACATCTACGTCATTCCTGAGAGATGTTTGCCTGACCTGGTCTTACCAATTTCCAGCCTCAGGAACTCCACCGTCTTTCTAAGAAATTTAATGTGTTTCATTTGAAGCACCTTTTTTTTTTTCCCCCCATAATATTTGACTTAAATGCCAACATCAATCTCTGCTTCTTATTAAAACAGTATCTTCAGTCTTTCCTTGCCAGCCACATTTTATAGACTTTGACAATTCTTACTGCTCTTTATAGACTCAACTCAGCTCAAGATCTCACTGATACTGAGCACAGAGGAAGGCTAATTTTGATGTGTCTCACAGACTATCCCTCTATGTCTGTACTCACACATTTCAGAATGTGATTTTGGCTTCTTCACAAAACTCACACTGTTAACTCATGTTCACCTTGTGATCCACTATAATCCTTAGATTCACTCTGCTGAACTACAAAGGACCCAGTAACTTCCTAGGGTGTATTTACATCACTGATTTTTCATGTCCAAATGCAATTCTTCTTTCTACCAAATCACACTTTTTTCTGTCAGATTGAATCTCCATCTTTATTAGATTATTTAAAATATGGACTTACCTTCCAGTGGGTCTCCCCCATCTTAGTGTCCTCCACAAATGTAATAAGCAAACTGCCTGACCAAGGTACAATTCTGCCCAATGAAAATACTCCACTTTATCCCAGTATGTCACACTCACTTTGAAAACATTTCAATTCCTTAGTAAAATGCAGAAAAATGGACAACTGGGCTCTTCAATCCAGTTAACCCTTCGCAAAAGGTTTCATACAGGACTGGTTTTCCATCAGCTCTGCTATTCAACTGACTTCTGCATTGTTCAACCAGATAAAGCCAACACTGAAGGTTCACCCCACAGGTATTGTAGGACTTAGTAGTAATGCTAGCAGGTAACACATCCTAAAACTTTCTGCTTAAGCCTGATTTCAATTCATTTTGCCACCAAAACCTCACCAGGCTGCACAAAATTGCATATAATTTCTTACTAGTTTTGGTTTTGGCAGGAAGGTTTAAAAAAAAAAAAAAATACAGTCACCTATTTCCAAAGATAAAATTAGGGAGAAAAAAAATTACTCACATAAAAAAGAATCCCAGCTATTTAACTGAGAGTCTTTAACCACTCCTTTATTTTTTCAGGATAGAAATGTTGTATGTCCTCCCTCCTTTAAGGAAATCACCTCAAATCTGGCCAAGTAGTAAGTACTTGAAAATTTCTGCCCATACAGGCTCAACAGAGATGCAGAGCTTAGCAACAAAATCCTCTGGACTTTTTGTATGCAGGGAACATACTTTCCCCTCCTTTACCCCTTGGTAAACCAAATACCAAATATCACCTGAGATTAATCTGCTCTTTCCTACAGCCACATGGACAAGAAGAAATGTCCTTGCTACTCCTGCAAAAAAGCAGGAAAAAGATTGCAGAGAAAATGGAGTAGAAAGTACCCATGGCCTGTGATTCCCGACTCAGCATCCCTCTGCTTCTAGAAGTAGGTTGGAAACTACCGGCGTCTTCTGGCACCGATGGCTCACAGAGGGCTACAACCTGCCACTGCTGCCATCTGTGACAACACAGCTGCCAACAAACATGGTGACAGACATCAGTGATGCAAATCTCACACTTCCCATCTTGCCCCAACATTCACAGGGAAACGCAGCCACACAACTGGCTTCCCCCACACCACCCGAACAGACCCCGTTCTGTTTTCTGAAGACCATGGAAAACATATTTATTCCATTGCTCTCCTACTAGGGCTGCGAAAGAAAGACAGGAAGCATGAGAGCTAAAGCTGCTGCATAGCTTTACTATCACTCCTGATGCTGGACTGTTGGATTATTTTGGCAGGGACCATTTTTGCCATCAGTGTTTGCTTAGCCGGTCCACATTCTATGGCCCTACTTGTTGCAAAAGTTGGAGCACACCCAGCAGATGAGCAGGGGATTCCTGCAAGCCCAAGGGCGATGCTGGAGAAAGGAAAAAAAACATCTGAAAGCGGCAACTAAACCTAGCAGAGACAGTTGACCCTCATCAGTATATGCATCAGCTTCTCATCTGCATGATGAGAACACCACTAGCTTCACCTTATAGCCATGTCAAAAAAAAGAAATAGTTTAGGAAGCAGTCAGATACCACGCTGAAGAGTGCTACACACAAGCAGATGCAAGCCCATAGCCAAAGCAAAATCCAAAGAGTGTACAAGAAGGTGAGAAACTGATCATATACTGGGGAAGTCACATGGAACAAAGTATTGAATTTCTGGTCATTACAGGACGACATTGATCCTGTGCAGTGAGGCGGGCAGTGGCCTTCCAAGAGAAAGCACACAACCATGTACCTGGTCACATCAATGGAAGGATATCTGAAAACTTAGCATTTGAGAATTTGAGAGGTAAGATGGGACCTGAGGGAAAAAAAAAAAAGGAGCATGAAGAATGGGAAAAAACTAGAAAAAGAAAAGCTGGAAGAAATGCATGAGCCAGCATCATTGAGCAGAGAGGGAGTGTTTGCTCTCAGCACAACCTGAAGAAAGCAGAGTCAGTCCAGAGGTTTCATGCCCAAGCAACCCCATGTGTCAAAGACATCACAGCACCTCTGGCACATGTACAGAACGACTTTCAAATTCAGTGTGCAGGAGAGAAATTTCATCATGAAAACAGGAAGTTTCTTAGCATCCTCTCTGCCTAAGGCTGCCTTCAAGTTTTCATACAGCTACTGTCATCCCATGGTCACTACGGTGCCCGACAGTCTCATCTTTATTTTCAGTGTGCTTAACCACCTGGATGAGTTCAGTTAATGATTTCCATAATAAGGCTGCTGCAGGCATAATATTAACCTTAGATTATTAAAGGAAAGCAAGTGAATGGGAGAATGGCAATCAGCTGAAACAACTTTCCTGAGACAAGAGAGGACATTAAATGGGAAGATGCAAGTTACAGATTCCCAACTCAAAACAGGAGCTCTTTGACCTGGATCAGGGCCCTAAAGTACGGTCTCAAATCCCAAGAAATAAATGGTGGTGTTTCCATGGCCTTCAGAAGACTCTGGGTGAGAATGGAGAAGAAAAAGGTCAACAGAGCAATCACAAGTGGCTGCAATAAACAGAAAGTAGTACACAGTTTACAAGAGAAATATGGCTGGTGGAATTCAGAAGGCAGG